CCCTGCTCATGCTCTGTCTCTATCTCTCAAAAATGAATAAACGTTAAAATTTTTTTTGAAAAATAAATAAACAAATAAAAAAGAACGAAACCTTGCCATTTGCAATGACGTGGATGGAGCTAGAGCATATAATGCTAAGCAAAATAAGTCCGAGAAAGACAAATAACCCTATGATTTCACTCATAGGTGGAATTTAAGAAACAAAACAAACAAGCAAAGGGAAAAAAATAAGAGAAAGAGAGAGGAGAGAAACCAAGAAACAGACTCTTAACTATAGAGAACAAACTGGTTGCCAGAGGGGAGGAGGGGGGTGGGGAGAAATAGGTCAAGGAGATTAATTAAGGTATGCACTTGTTGTGATGAGCACAGAGTGATGGATGGAAGTGTTGAATCACTATATTGTACACCTGAAACTAATATAACACTGTATGTTAACTAATTGGGATTAAAATTCAAACTTTAAAAAATCAAAAATGAGAAAAATTCGTTCACATAGGGCTTACCTGAAAACCAGTTGGCACATATATCTTTATATGTTTATTATATGTGTTTATAAAGAGAGACTATGGTCAAAATAATTTTAACAAATCGGTCCAATTGTGTGTGGATGCATTTTCAAAAAGACACGAAAAGAGTCATTTAAGCTCATGATAAAGAAAACATCAAAAATTGTAAACATTTGTTTTTAGGACATAGTAAATTTGGTATAAAACACTGGAATTTTCCTGTAACTTCTCTCAAGACTTGGATTTGCTCTTAATATTTTATGCCTCATGATATATTAATAGCTCTGTATTTGAACAGTATAGCTTTGTATAGTACCTTCTAATCCTGGTAGAGTTAACCTCAAAGACAAAATCTAAGTGGCTGATTTCTCTTAAGACGTTAAAGTCCTAAACTGATACATTCAAATTTTAAAAACGTCATAACCGAAACAAGCAGTTGGCATGACATATTTATAAATAGTACACCTAAAGTACCATTGCAGATGAACAATAATTTTGCAATTAAAAAACTGGATTTGGCTGGGGTTATTTATATTTAAAATATGATAACATTTAACTTACACATGTGTCCATATGTTGAAATGCTACTGCTCCGTAGCTTTTCAGATAGGAGTTAGAGCATTCCCTGGATCTGCTTTTCCATGAGTCACAGACTACTCATCCTAAATGGACTATATTGAGACCAAAGAACATTTTTGTCACATTATGAAACCTAATGAGGAATAGTAAAGAGTCAGTTTGTTGTTTTCAATTCCGATTTGGGGGAAGGCTTCCTCAAAGGGTGGGTTTTAAGGGTTTTTATAAGGGATGCTTTTATAGGTAGATTTGCTTATGTGCGAACAACGGTGCTGCTACAGTTTTCATTCTTCCCATCAGTGGTATCAAGTCTGGGAAAGTCTTGGCCAAGAGAATAGATTTAGAAGATCAAGTACCTATCAGACTTGTTTCCTGCCCCAAAGAGCCTACGATCTGGCACCCTTTTCTGCTTTCCATGTGACTCCCTGTGAGTTCTGCTTTGGGATTTGGGGATCCAGACACTTACGTCTGGGCAAGTAGGGGAGGACTGAATTTATAAGAGCCAATTAGAATTTCTTAAGAGGCATCAGGAAGTCTTTTTAAGTGGATGTAGTTACAGTGCTTTGATTTTCTCTGAATTGAGCGAAGCAGCTTCGGTCTAAGACTAAAAAGCACACTTGCTTTTATCCTTCAGTCCTTCCAGAACACTTATTTCTTTAACCCCATTTTCTGCCTGGTCTCCTTCCACTTTAGCACAGAGTAGTTTTGGGGTTTTGGTGTGTTTTTTTTTTTCTTTTTCATTTAGATTGTCTAATTCAAGCAATTAGAACTTAGGTACCTCTGGGCAGAGCCCTTGTCTGCCTATGTGTTTATAAAGCATTATGTACACTTACTGTACTTTATAAGTAATAATAACAGTAATCACCTTCTATACAAAATTAGAATGTTAGCATATTCAACTAGTCTAGTATGCTGATTTGCTTTAGTGCTTCATAATTATCTCATGAAACCAATGGTATAATGGGCACTACATTATACAATCTTCCAAAAATATATTCCTATATATTCTGGCAGAGAGATGCACCTGTGTTTTCCTCCACCCACCTCTAAGATACAGAAATGGCAGGGTGATACTTAAGTTGTATTCATGTTGCAAACTATTCAAAGTCATCTCCTTTTCAGCCTTTTCCTCCCTAAAAGCCAGGCAGCATTAAGTATGGTTAAGAGATATATGTGTCCTAAGTAACTCGAACAAGAAGATGGGAAGCTGTAATTTTCCCCACATAAAGGGCAGCATGAGAATTGTGGATTGCCACACTCTCATTGCAAGAAATGTAAAGCCTCGCAGCCTCTATGTAAGGTTCAACCACTGGTAACTACCAACGGCCATTGCTGTAACCTGCTTGAGCCTTCATTGTCTGATTAAACAGCAACCAGAAAATTAGTCGGACTTTGGGGTAAAAACAGAGAACTGCCTCTCATTTTCAACCTCAGAGGAAAGAGCAAAGAAAGTGTGGAAAACACAGTGGATAAATACCTCTTGGTTCGCAGTAAGCAGCACTGCTGGTCTCTTCCTGCAACAAACTTGCCAGGTTGAGGTAATTAAGTTAGTACTGCGGCTTAAATCATTAGGCAGACAGGTCACATGCCCAGGACACCCATGGCATTTGAAAATATATAGTGTTGAAAGAGCAGCACTACATAAAATTGAAAGCCTCACACCATTTTACTACCAAGAAGAGGCAGCTCCCTGCCTTCCTTTGCTTTTTTTGCCCAGGGGTTTTCTTCTAATGCAGTAATGTTATTTTAATGTGCCAGAATGGAAACCCCGGCCAGAGACTTCTGCAGTCAAAAATTCCACTGTCTCAGGCTGTATTTTTAGTCCTCTGAATTAATTGGATATAGCACCCTATAGTAAAAATCCCTTTGACACTGCTTCAGAAATACCTAAGGCATGGTTCCCAGAAAGAACTGCCAGCCGGCCACAGAGCTGAGCCGCTCTGGCAAAGGTGCTGAATCTGTACCCAACAGTCCTGGCTCTTCCAGGTTCTTTCCAGCAAAGCAAAACCCATTGATTTTTACAGTACATGGAGCTGACTTTGGAAGATGCTATCATTTGAAACATGATGCGATCCGCCAAAATACTCACTAGGTATGTATGTCTTCACTTGCAGCTGCTTAAAAAAATTTTTTTTAATAATAAAAAAAACTTGACCTAATCCTCAAACGTGTGCGTGAAAGACCATGGCAAATGAGAAATTCAAGTCAAAATGCCCTCCGGAACATTCCCATTAAAATGATTAAAGGGGAGATGTACAGTGACTGTAC